TTGCACTGTTCACATGAAGCTTCAGGATACAAACCCTTTGTGGAACCACTTGGCTGAGAAAGTAAAACCTCCGATGCTGTGAGACAAACATCCAGTACCGGGTAGTTGATTTCTGCAAGCAAAGAAGATACAACAGCCTGAGAAATTTAACTCACCGAGTATTTCACTTACTGACTGTGGACTGCTCACAGGGCCAGGTTTCAGTTCACTGCAGTCATGTTGGTTTCTAGCATCTATATATGAAATGTATATATGTCTTCCCAGTCACTGTATGTGGCCAGTCTTTATGTTACGACCCAGCTAGGGGAAAAAGGAAGCAACATAAAACCAGGTTATACCCAAAAACACAAGAAGCAGCACCCCTGTTCCTAATGTGTCCAACAGTCTTTTTCTAAGGGTGTGATGCACAATCAGAATTTTAAACCTAGCCCAGTCCGTAACAATCACTACCAGCATCTCAAACCAAATCACAAATTACACACAAATGTTCACAAAGGAGGCACAGAGGCAAACTGCCTATCATGTCAGCCGCCACTAATGATGTGCGGGCCGGGCTCTTAAACTTTCTTCCTCTGATGCTTAAACAGCTGCAGCTGTGGTGAGGACTGACAGGATCATTGCTGCACCAATAGGAGAAGCCGACTGTGGAGTCGGAGGCTCCTCCTTTCTGCTCCGACCAATCCCGTCATGGAATCCGTTTAGCCTGATTAGCATACAGACAAAACCCAGGTGACTGCCCAGGTGACTGCGCACCGCTCAGTTGAACATATTTTTATATCACGCAGAAAGTTGAAGAAGAACGAGCAGAACTGATGACACAACCATGGAAGATTGCGCCGGTAGAGGAAAACATTAAAATTACTAGAAAATTTCTGGAGAAATTTTGAATGTTCCCGCTGTTTGGTGCGTGTACTTCACTCCTCAAGTTTCAATCTGTGCAAAGGACGTTACTTTCAGTTTCATTCATGTCCTAGAGACTCATCCTGACACTGACCTCAGTCACTGCAGGTGTCCCTCAAAGAGCCTTTTGAAGCTGTCACGACTGGCCAAAATAAATTCACACTGCTGGTTTCAAACACAAATTTGTCCCCACAACCACACACACGTACATGCCCTAACAGAAGTTGATCTGTAATAAAGCTATACCACTATATCCCCATAAGGCACAAAAATGTGCAAAAGTGTGTTTCCAAATCTCAAAATCATTAAGTCAAGTACTCTTGCCATGATATGAGTAAATACTATTTATCCACTCCACTGTAGCTGTAACAAACTGTCAATAGTTTAAAACATTAGAGTTCATATTTCATAGTCCTCAGCCATTATAGTTAATATCAGTGTGCTGTTCCAACAGCATCACTTATTTAGAGGGAGATTGTTACTGGAGCAAATAAATATTAACTGTCTCACACATTAGGACTCATGATGAATAATGATTATACTTGTTGCTAAAGATTCTGTTGCACTGTTGATTAAACTTCTTCTTTTTGTTATGTAAACTTACATGACAGTGAAATTCAGCTTTAACTTCATCCACAACTGTTATTTTTTATTTATGATTTTAAAGTTACAGTTCATTGTAAATTGTACACTTCAGTATTTAATGAATCAATTTATTACATTCTTTTATTCAATTTCCAGTGTTGTAAATTGTTTAAATTAATGTTGTTTATAATGTCCAATAAAGTTATTTATGAAGCTCTTGCTTTAAATTTGTCGATGGTCTTGTGTGACTCTTTCTATGTTAGCTTTAATCAACAACATAAATGTTTCAATGTTGTCTGACAACACTGACAATGAAGGATCAAAAAACATGCTGATATCAATTGGTAAATACTTTCACCTGTGGAGGTGGTGACAGTGCTAGAATTGATCCATCACTTAATCACAGTTTAATATTTATAAATTCTGATCTTAAAAGTGTTGCTACCATCACCTGTCAACAACAGCAGATATGAAGTTGCAGGTAAGAAACTGAACCTATGAATACTGAAGACAGAGAATAATAAACAAACTCATCAGCAGTTAGTCTGTCATTTCATCAGAGGAAGCTGAACTGGGAGAGGTTTTCTACCATCATCATCACAGCACATTAGAGAACTAAGGATGTCCATACAGTCTCCCTTCTCCACAACCAGATGAATGGAAACAAATGGGCTGCTCTGTACATGAGGTCCTCCTTCTGTTGGCACAGATCACTTACACCACAATAAAAGATAAACACTTAAGATAATCTTCTATATGACTATTTGAATATTTGTCTACACATTTTGTATACGTCACGTTATCTTAACTTGTATTGTACTTAATTCAACCTGTAAATGTATTAACTAACATTAACGCTGCGCATTACACCAATGCAGATCACTTAAACTGGGTCACATGTGCGAGACACAACAAACCAAACGTCGTTAGCTTAATGTCGATTAAATTCACCTTTTTATTGGGTTTTGACTGAACACCTCACGGGAAAACCCAGGTTGACACAGGTTACCTGCCCAGCGGGACCAGGTGCTGTTAGCATAGCAATCGCTACGTTATCGGCTAACGCTAGCACTAGCTGGATAGCTTGGTTAGCAAGGTGCATCTTCACCTAAACTGTGATATTAACAGGGAAGCTAATTTTGGCTAGCAAAAAATAGGCTTAAAACAAAATGTACTTACCGGAAGAAATTGAACTGCCGAGTGTCTTTCAGAACAACTGAACACAGAACAAGACATTTACAGGTAAACAACATATTGGAGCTAACTTTGATGAACTCAAAACACAATAACAAGTCAAACGTCCGATACATCGCTCTGACCTCATATCCGGATTAACAGGCAGGTCCCCCTGCGTGCAATCACGCAGTAGCCACGCCCACACTTCTTTAACGTCTATTTTCTTTTAAATAGGACCATAATTTGAAAAATGAACATCATGTTGTATTGCTGTATAATTAGCGATTCAGATCATAAACTGATAACGAAAACGTTTACTGAGGTAAGTGACAAATAGGGTCATTTCCCCACAGACTTCAATACAATCGGAGTTCTTTTTGCAACCAGTGGAGTCGCCATGATGGTCATTGGATAGAATGCAAGTTCAAGGCACTTCCGCATTGGCTTCATTTTCCAGACCCGGAGTCGACGTGCATTTTTATATAGTCTGTCAGTAAAGGGAAGAAAATATGGGAATGGTTTACTTACACCAAGGGACTGTCCTACGTGTCCCACCTTTAAGATACATCTCAAACATTAAATCAAACCAGATCTGTGATCATCTTTCACTCAGTCAGCAGCAAAATTTGTCTTTTATTTTTATTTTATATCTTTTTGTGATGTCCCTATCAAATAAACAAATAAATGAAATAAAATCAATGAATGCCATTGAGAAGTTAAGAGTCCTAAACAGAAGAATATCATATTTTAATTGTAAACTGTGTTTTATTTAACCCCCACTGTCGGAGTAAAAACTATGGGATGAGTCGATGGGAGAAATGAAGTCTATGAACTTAATGTTGATGTGAAACCTGGTCTCTGGTGTGACAGTGGTGTGCTTTGTTAATAAATGTAGTGCTTCATTCATTCATTTATTCAGAAAGTGAGTTGCCTGAATATAATCCAGCCACAGATTGTTTTCTTGCAGGAGACAGGGTCACCCTTTAATAACTTTTGTACCACTTTCCTCTCTCTTTCTCTCTACCCCCTCCCTCCCCTCTCAGGCCTTTGCTGTCTCCGTCTATAACACATCTCTCCGGCGACAGAGGAAGTCTCCCTGTCAAAATGTGCTTGCTGTTCGTTCCAGGAGCAGGATTGATGCGTCTCCCCTCGCTGTGACTGACAGGCTACACAAACAGCTAAATGTGTGGCTCAGAGCTGTCTGGCAGCCGGGGCCCCCCTGTGCAGGCAGAGGCTGTACTCACACTGATGTCCTGGGGGCCTGTGAGGGAGGAACGAGGGCCGGGGGCTGGCACTGTTTTCATACGCCTACACCCCTGATGTAGATACACAGTGTGCAAGCTGCTATTCTGAGCAGTGCGTATAAATTGGCGTGATGTTCTCACGGCATTAACTTGTAATCTTAATTAATTCATGAACATTTGGACACATTTGGGAAGCGTGTGTGATGTTTCCAGCGATACATCTCACAGCGAGTGTGTAATTCCTGCTTTGTGATGCCCAGAAGGCAGGAAGACAGATCCAGCCAAATTATGAAATGCAGTTATACACCTCATTTTCCTCCATATTAGAACATTTTGTGACACAGAAGCAGAGCTCAGCGACACACCGGTTACACTGATTTCCTCAAAGTAAGGCAGTTTCAATAGTCTTTTCAGATATTCCACTTCCTCCACTTGTGTTTGCTGGAAAAGCTTTGTCAGGCCGGTCCCCTGTTGGTGAAGGCAGGTGTATGCCTCCACCTGCTGGTCACATTTAGTACTTCCACTGTAATAAGAGCCAGGAAAATGTTACATACAACCAAAACTTTATTTAAATGTCAATAAATATAATTTCATGGTATCCACTATCATGTCAATCTAATTCTTATATATATAAGTCTCATTGACAAAATGTCCTTATGTTTTATTTGATAAATTGGGATAATCAGATTAATTCAGTTTGCATTAAGATTAAACAATTAATTTCCCTGTTTAATACCTACAGGACTTATTCACAACAACAGGTCGGTGAGCCAATCAGAAGAGAGGAGGCTCTGAGTATTTTATGAGTTTATCTTATATTTTTTTTTAATTTAAAGTTTATCTTTAAAGTAACAATAGCTGACTGGTAAATGTAGTGGAGTAAAAATCTAAATATTTCCCTCTAAATCGCAGTGGAGTGGAAGAATACAGCAGCATTAAATGGAAATACTCAATATAATTTCCACCACTGCACAGTAAAGAGCGTTTTATCCATTAAATGTGGATTATTTTATTTTATTTTATCAGTGTTTACACTGCACAACAAACGAGACAAAAAAAAAAAAACCTTCTCTGAAGATTTAAACACACCTTTGGGAAAAGTCAGGAAATGGATGAACATCTATTTCCATTAATTTTACATGATTGTTTTTAAAATGCTCTTAACTGGTTGTATGATTTGTCAAAAATGTTTTGCTAATTTGCTATAAAAATATATATATATTGTATATTTAAAAATATACCTCCTTTTTTGTTTTGTTTTTACTGTGTGATACTGTGTGCATATTTAGTATTAAGGAAAAGGCATTAACATGAGTACTGGTCAATATTATACTGTATAATGGACGTGGTTATTGATTATCCAAACACTGCATATGTAACATGGACATATGGGTGAGTCCCACTGTATATGTCAATGAGAAATATCAATCCTTATCAGAAACGTCTCAATGACCAAGTGTTGAAGTTAAAAATCAATGATTGATGATGAGGAAGAGACTGAAGAGCCTTTAAACAACCACCTGAAGGATTTCAACAGCCTTCGTGTGTTTGGATTGGGTGGAGTCCGGCTTGTTCCGACCCCCTTTCTCCGCCACGCTCGTTTTGTCACAGTGCTCCGGCTGACCGCTCTGCTGGTGGCCGAACTCAAAGCCGATCCTGAGCTCTCCCATCTGACAGCGGGGGAGAACGTCCGGGATCCACTCGATCACGAACGGACTGGCCTCCTTCTGGTCGGCCGTGCCTGGTCCTGCCAGAGATACAGCAGCGTAAACACGTACAGCTCCGCGCAACGGCTTCACGGCTGAAAACACTCCGCCACTCACCGACTTTGAGGAAGGTGCGGAGCTCCATGGGTCGGATGGCCTGTGGCCGATCTGTCCTGTATCCGTCTGGTAGCTCTGGTTCAGGCGGCGGCTCGGGGCAGCGGAAACGTGAATACGAGCCGTCGACGTTTTTTACAAAACTCTGAGAGACCTCCAGAGGCAACTGGTGGACAGACGTGAGGTGGAGAGAGAGAGACGAAGAGGTCAGAACATGACCACACTCACAGAGCACTTTATTAGGAACACCTGTGCACCTGCTTATTCATGCAATTATCCAATCAGCCAATCACGTGGCAGCTGATACAGGTGATTTAGCCTACACTCATTGATATAAATGAGGTGGAAAAAATGATATATTGCAATACAATTCAACAAACTGCACAGTAATAAATGTAAATATTTCATCAGCTCAGGTGTTCTCTCTGGATTTCAGTTTCAGTTTGACTCTGAAAATCAACCTGATCGGTCAAAATGTGTTTCCCATGTACAGCGGTCACGGCCACAACTGATGCAGTCAACAGATGAATTGTCTCTTAGTTGTTTGTCTGTTGGTCTTGAAACTTACTGGACTGTCTCCCAACATGTTTATGCTCACCTGGGTTAATACACATCCCTTTCTCTGATTGTAAAATAGTTCTGGGAACTTCTATTGGACATATATCGTTTAAAACAAAGGGAAAAAGAAAAAGGATGTTGGGAGAGGAAGGGTTCTCAGCCACTACTCTGCAACTGCGAGGCTATTTCTCTGTAACTGGGGAAAATATATAAAGACGGGAGATCGTGAAAGTCAAATAGGATTTGGAAAATGATTTGTTTTGATTCTGAAATCGACCTCAGTGGAAACTAAAGCGTGTCATGAGAGCGACGGGGAGAGTGTTTTTACCTCTGGAGTGTCGAAGATGCGTTTGACCTGCATGAGGTTGGTGATGTGCCAGGTGTACTTGGAGAACGAGCCGAGAGGAAGTCCGTCGTTTCTCACAAACGCTGACAAAGTGACAAAGAGAGAGAGAGAACAAGAGAGTCAGATCCTGCTCTTGTGTGAAAGCACCAATACAACACTGTCAAACGACTGTGTTGGAGCTGCAGCTGATTTTAAATACTTCAGCTCCGGAGTGAAGTCCACTGGTTCCCAACCTAAGGGTCAGGGCTCCTTCAAAGGGGCCCAAGATAAATCTGAGGGGTCATGAGGTGATTAATGTGAGAGGGAAGAAGAAAAAACACAATTCTGCTGCAACCTGTTTCTGTTTTTATTTTCATTTACATATTTCATCATCTTCCATCTTTCTATTGTCTATTTGACTGTCCTTCAATCCGCCCTCAGTCATTGTACTACTTGAGCGACATCTCTTGTATGAATAGTGCTCTATAAATAAAGTTATTTATTTAATTTTTTTTCCCTAATCACTGATGTTTCTGTGAAATGCTGAATAATTTTACTTTTAACAGTTTTTTTAATTAAACCCATTTCAGATCTGTTTGCTTCTGGTTTAATCTTGACAATATGTTGTATTCTAGAAGCTTTATATGTTTTTTTGTGTAAACTCTTTATCTGAAAAGTTACTAGTTACTGCAGCAATCGAACACATGTAGTGGAGTAAAAATATAAAGAGGCATAAAATGGAAAAAGAGGTAAAAGTGAAAGTTTCTCAAACCTGCACTTCAGTACTTGTGTAAACGCGTGGTGCTGGGTTTAGCTCAGAAATCTGGGTCTGATTTAGATTTCCATGAACACACTTGTTGTTGAGAAATGACCAAACTAATGAGGTCTAATTACAAATTCTGTTGGACATAATTTAACGAGTTGGTTCTCCCACCTGTTGTGAAGTTCGGCAGCCTCCTCTTCTTGGATCCGAGCGACAGGCGGTGCTGCAGCGCGTTGAAGAACTCCTGGGGAATGTGGTAGACCAGAGGCTGTGGTTTCCCTGGTGGATAAACAACAACAACAACAACAACAACAACGTTTTTTACTGTGTGCAACAAGCAACTAAAGCCGACATCCTGCAGAGAGGAGCAGGTGTGAGTGACTTCCTCGTCTAAACCTCCTGCTCTGTGAAAACAAACTGACTAATGACTTTATCAGCGATAAATAAATCATTTAATAATGACAGATATGATGAGCTGATTTATCGTCTGGTTAGTCTCATGAATGTGCTTTAGCTTTACCGTCAAACTGGTAGTGCATCGTCTGGTGGATCCTCTCCGTGACACTGGCGAGCCACTGATGGAAACCCAGCGTGACAGTCCGCTCGTCCACAGCCTGCGTGTTCCCTGAGACACACACGCACACGTTAGATCAAACAGCACAAAACTTATCACTCAATCTTTTCTGTTTCTACCACCATGATATTAAGCCCATAACACTGTTAGCTTTCACCTGTCAAATTCAATTTAAAGGCTTTTAAATGTTATGTTGAAATGTTATTCAAACCTTTTTAATGTCACACAGATACAATTTAGTGCCTGTTTCAGTTACTTATTGACACTGATATCACATTTGCCATGAATTATTCCAAATAGTATAATTAATTAATCATTAAACACGACCTGAACCTGGATGAGCAGTAAAAAATGGATGGATAAATGAACAGAATATTTAAAATAACCTATTTATTTAAGGTAGATATATTAATTTCATATAAGATCAGAGGTTTGAAAAAGCACTAAAATCATTCTTCTGTCTTTTATTTTGAAGTGTTGATCCATCAGAAGATATATTTGTGGTTTTAAAGAACCAAAAACCATCTCAGTGTAGTTTTACATCTCCTCTCTCAGGCTTCTCTCTGGAGCTCTAGTTACAACAGGTCGGTGAGCCAATCAGAAGAGAGGAGGCTTTGAGTCTATCCTCTGATTGGCTGATGGTTTTCTGAGTGATCCAATAAAAATAGAGCAGATTTTAGGAGAAACAAAATCCTGCAAGGTTTGGATGGTGGGTCCAGGTGGGCGGGGCTTGGTGACTGCTTTGTTGTGACATCACAAAGTTACAGGAAGTCCTGACGGCTGGTTTTAAGGCTCAGTTTCTGAATACAGGCTGTGTGCATTTCTCTGTGGACTGAGGCTTTGATACTTTCACAGTATTAATATAGAAGCTAGACCTGATCTATAATCACACTACACATGGACACAGACCTTTACACTGGATGGGACCTTTAAGACTTTTTAATACGGCCATTAAAGGCCTGAAATCAAAGCTTTTCAATGACTTGTCAGGATCTGCAGACACCCTGGTTTTATCAGGGGCAAATTAAACATAAAAATATGCTCGGTGTCCACCACACTGCGACCCTGTACTCTTCAATAATGGATGAGGATTAGTGCTGCAGGATTAGACAGAGGAATGATACAGATAGAGGCAGATGTCGAAGACGATGTGAGGCTCCGTGACAGACAGAGAGATTCAGGCAGCAGAGAGACGAGAGGCCAAGAGAGGGAGTGGGCTCAGTGGTGAGACAGGCAGGGAGGGGGGGCAGCACCTGGAGCCTTCGGCCCACCGGCACCAGGGGTTCTCCTCTGACCAGCTCTCCTCAGGCCGGAGGCCGACACTCCCTCTTTCCCCACCCCAGAGGCAGAGGCCACTGAGGGGGCGACACAGAGGCAGGAAATGAAAAGAAGGACAGGTTGTGAAAAGATAAGACAAGAGAGAGAAGGAAGGACAAACATGCTGTGCAGAATCTTCCTGCGTTAATGAGCCATAAATGTAATTAAATCCTTCAGCAGATGTTATGATGAAACCACCAGAGAGAGACTCATCCAGGCGAAGTTTCTTCACTTTGTGATGGGAGTTGACTGGTTCGGCCTGCTGCAGAGGTTTCTCACTGGGACCAGTTACTCTACTGGAAACACTCTGCTGCACACCTGAAAGCAGAGACACAGAGACAGACACGAGCAGTCGGCCTTATTGAACCAAAAAATGTGACATTCTAGGAAACATGCTTATTGCTTTCTTGCCTGCAACAAGTGTATTTCCTAAAATATCAAAGTATTAACTGTTAATCCAGGTTGAGAGGGACAGACTCAGTTACTGTACCACTGGGGGTGTAGTTGATGAAAGCAGCGAACTCTGAAGCCAGTTTCTCATCGCTGGCAAAGGCACACACACAGGCGTAGAAGTGAAGGCAGGGTTGCGGCGTGGCTGAGCCGGCAGGAGGATGAGAGCCGGTGGCTCCGCCTCCTCCATCAGCACCTGGTTTATTTCTTCTGCCGCTGCTGCCGACCTGACAGGCGCAGTGGAAAACGCCCTGCTGCTGCGTCTCTCTGCCCCTCCTCTCACTCTTCGAGGCCTCAGACAGTCCACCTGCACCCACAGTGAGATGCAGCAGGCCCAGAGGATGATGGGAATCCGTGTGGCACTTCACCACCAGGGTGTCTTTTGAAACGCGCTGCACCAGGGGTCCCGGAGACTCGGTGGCCAGCCTCCACAGCTCCTCCCTGGCCTGGATGGAGGCCTGCAGCCCCTCCAGGACGGAGCTCTTTAAGGTCAGCGGCGTGGCGCGGCTCTGACACTCGATGGCCTGCTTGATGTGGATGCAGAGGCTGTCGGAGGACTGTTTGGAACTGGCCGTCGCCGATTCTGCCTCACCCTGATTTGACCTTTGACCCTGCCTGCAGGAAGGCAAAAAGCAGCGGCCCAGGTTGATGCGGGTTAGCAGGGTGGCGCCGTCACCTGTCGCTATGGCGGTGTCAGTGGGGACCAGCTCAACGAAGCCCAGCTGTGTAGACGTGGCTCCTCTTCCTCTGTGACACACTGAAAACACCTGGACTCCTCCGCCCGAGCCGCCGCCCAGGACTCCTCCCCCCTCGCGCTCTTTCCCGCCTCTCTCCTCACTGTCTATTATCACTTTCACCACCTCCACTGCACACTTCTTGCCGTTTCTGGCCCCCGCGGAGGCATTTCTGAGGGACACCCCACAGGCCTTGTTCTTGCAGCTGAGCCCACGGGTGCCGTTGTAGACGCCACACTGAGGACACTTGCGGATGCCCCGCAGGGTGGCCCTCCCCAGGTTGGAGAGAAAGGCGGGAGTGGTGGATGTGGTCTTCCTGCTGTCTCGCTGTTTTGCTGCCAGGTTGGCCTGAGTGGTCGAGGTCTGCGGAGCGGAGGACGAGACCAGCGTCGACGATGACGACGCCGTCACCTCAGGCTCCATTCTGGGACGCTATCACTGAGAGTTCAGCTGGAAGTGACGGGATTCCTTCACAAAGAGGGAAAACAAACCATAAACATCATGAGTATCTTGTGCACAAATGACGGCAGAAGAACGGCAGAGTCTGATGTGGATGATTTTATGTCTTGGTGTGACCAAAAACCAAAGACACAAGCCCAGCATCACTTACAAATACCTCCATTGATTGTTTAAAGGTGTTCAGTGCAGACATGTAAAAGGCGTTTGTGGTTGTTTTGCATCAGTTTGTAGACGTTTTATATCTTTTTGTGGTGATATTGTATCATTTTGGATTTCTTTGTTGTCACTTTGTGTTTACTTTTACTCTTGTTTTGTGTCTCTTTCTGGGATATTTTGCAGGTGAAAACCAGGGACCCCTGACCCCTCGGGCCCCTCAGCCTGTACCCAGTAGGCCTTTTCAGTAACCCACCCATGGTTTCTTACCTACTGTATTGTTTATTGTAGGTTTATCATTAGGTCTGACCTCCTCCTTCTTTTATGCTCTTTTATTCCTGTAGCCACTGAAACACTGGATCTTTTCATGTAACACAGACTGACACACCTGCACTTTATGTAGTTTAGCTCTGTATGTCTTTTTATGGGCAGGATGTTTCTATTTTTTTGCTTGATCTGCTGCTGTTTTTATTTTCTATTGGTACATTGTTTTATTTTATCTTATTCTCTTGTTTTTTTGTTTTTCTTTTTTTTTATATATTAGTGGTGGAAGACACACTCAGATCCTTTACGTTCATAAAATACTAATTAGTAACACAATTGGCTTAAAATATCAAAGGTAAACTCATTATGCAGAACGGCCTCCCTCATATTTAAGTATCGGATCATTATCATTACTATACTGACATGTCAGTGGCACTTTAAAGCTGTTAATGCTTTTTAATACTGTTGGGTACAATCTACAGAGCTGCAACCATTAACCAATCAACCAAAAAATTAGGTATTTTGTTAACTTTTAGTTATTTTATAAGTAAAGGTGCTGGTTCCAGCTTTTCAAATGGGAAACTTTGATGCCTTTCTTTGTCATAAATCATAATAAACTGAATATCTTTAGATTTTTATTCTGCTACTCTGACAAAACAACACATCTGAAGAATTGAAGTTAATTACAACAGGCCTTTTTTCACAATTTTCTGACATTTTATAGCCAACATAAATAATCAATTGATCTGGAAAATAATCTGCAGATGAATCAACAATGAAAATCATTATCATGTAGTGATGGTGCATTATAATTTAGAAATTGATCATATATTTGCATGTTCAATATTAGTTTTAAAAGTATTAATAACTGTTAAACAAATGTAGGGGACTAGAAATATTTCACTCTGAAATGTAGAAGTATAAAGTAGCATAAAATGGAAATACACAAGAAAGCACAAAACTTTAGAAAATTACTTTCTACTGTTATATATACTGTATATCTTATGGCTTTATTTATTGTTATCATTGTCATCAGTGCACACTAAGCCTGAGTGTTGCATGCAAACCTAATTTCCTGCAGGAATAATAATAAAGCTGAAGTTCAAAAATATATTTTTAAAAATTATTTTTATGTTATTAAACTTTAATTAACACGCCACTGCCCTCTTTAAGTTTTGCTGACAATTTGACTGTAATTAAAACGACATGCGTCCGTTTACGTGCTTCACCTCCTCGCTGTGAAGTCACTGCGCGACTAGCTCATGATCTTACTGTGTGTTTTTGAAATCAAATGTTCCAGCTACCTGTGATCCGCTTCTGTTTGGTCAAATCCAGCTCGACTCTGGCCTCCAAAAACGTCTCGACCGTCGCCATTCCTCCTTACATCCCGACAACCGCATTGCGCCTGTAACGACACTCCCCATTGGCCGGAGACGATCACGTGATGCAGAAAAAAAAAGAAAAAAAGAAAAAAAAAGGGTGGAGGCGGGAGGATGGGTTCTCTGGCGCTCTGGAGAGCGGTGAATCATGGGAGCTGTAGTTCACGTACACTGATGACTGAGTTTACAGAAATCGATTTAAAACGTGGGGGAAAGAAAGAGAATTAAAGTTTCCAGCTGAGTAAAATCTACAGTTCAGTTCTTCAAAATAAAGAAGATGAGAGAAAATGCCGATTTGAAAGTGTATGTAGATAATTTAGAGACAGTTGAAACACTTCCGGTTTTAAATTTTTATTAAAGCATATTGATATGAGAAAGGCGACCACGAAGTTACTCTCTTTGTGGTCGTTATGTGTTCGCCATTTTCTAGTTCCTGTGCAGACCTTTTTTAAATGTACCAAACTTAATTTTGTCAAACCGACCTTTGATATCTCTCTGATATATTTCTGACAAATCCACCTCAACTCTCAAACATTTAGTAGCCAAGTGTCCAATTAATATTGAACCCCTGAACTTTAGCCACTACGTATTATAAAAGGGATTTATCTATCTAAAGACCAACTAAAATAGCTGTCCCCTATATTTAACAGTGCCAGAAAATCTGCTAACGTTTTCATAATCTATATTAATCCTTTTGGTCAGTATCTTTGGGTTTTTTGGTAAAAGAAAACAAGACATCCGAGGACTTCAGCCTGGGCCTGATGGGAATTTTTGAACATTTCATAAACCAAATTATGATTAATCTGCAAATCTATTAAATAACCATCTGAACAATATGTAATGAAAACTATTTTTAGTTGCAGTCCTCTACTCAATACTGGAAATGAGATATTACTAAGCATCTTTTGGAGTGGAATATACATGCTGGAGATGTCCCTGCCTGTGCAGGAGTGTGCTGTGAATTAAAGTCAATCACACTAAAGTTACTCCACCTTCCACCTGGTTGTAAAGATCAGATGCAAACAGTGTAAATGTGAGCTGTTTTAAGCATCAGCATTTTAATGGGACAAAGCAAAAACACAAACCATGATACTGAAGCATCAACAGAACTTCCCTCGCCAAAACATAGGTTGAAAACATTCTTAGGCACCGCCTACTCTTGGATGATTTTTGGTTAAATTAAAAGTAACTCACTGATAATAAGGCAACACAATGGATTTTTCAACTATATTAAAATAATGGTGGCCACAGTGCAAAAATCTGATCCTTATAAGGTTGTTTCTTAATCTACAAAAAAAAAACAAAAAAAACAATCGTCATTTAGGTTTAAAACAGAATATATTATGTAATACTTGTCGATCTAAAGGCTTTTGCATTGCATAGCAATGCTGCTTGTCCTCCGTGCCTCTGGAAGAATCAAATGTTGCACTGTCTCTACTGTACACAGACCAGCACTGGACAGGGATGCTACTGTCAAACAGCTGTTTCTGGAATCCATTTCTCCAACCAGAAGCAAGCTCGCTTCCTTTATTAACATGTTGTCTTTATACAGATTCAGTACAATTGAACAGACTGTTTGGTTATTTACATAAAAACAGACTTCCAAATGAAATTACAAAATAAGGTGGAATGCAAAAACATAAAAAAAAAAAAAAAACCCTAGTATTTCAAATTTTGTGAAAAGATAACCTTAAGTAATTGTGCAATATTCGTCTGCCTATAAGTAAGATAAGAGTGGCAGTAATCCCTGCAATCGATTTATTTGAGATATTGAAAATCTAATTTAAAAAATAAAGTTGACAGTTGACAGCCACTTAATGCTTTATAAACAAACATAAAAGGATTCACGCGTCACATGATTCAATGGTGTCACTGCAACATTTCTTTTTAAGACAGTCCCGAAATGAAACAACAAAAAGGCAAAAAAAAAAGCTCTTTATACAATGTCACCATTTTAAAGTTGCTCAAAACAAAAAAAAAACAAAACAAAACAAAAAAAAAACAAAAAAAAAAGAAAGAAAGAAAAAGAAACTGACACTTTGTCTATTATATTTGTAGCAAAACAAGGTGGCGTAGTCCTTTCTGTTTCAGGGGGAAGATGAACTGGACATTGTCTTGTGTGTAAAAGCATCAGTTCATGCACACACGTAAGCACACACACATTTTCGTTTTCCGCAGACTGGACTCTCAGTCTGTTCAGTCCGTTCAGGGAGATGAAGTGAAGGAACGCTGATATATATATATATATATATATTTTTTTTACTTGTTTTGTGGTATCTGCTTTCCCTCAACCTGCCTAGCTCTACTCAGTGATTCCCTACATTTCACAGAATGACTTTACAACACCCTGAGAACTTGCTTGGACTTGTGTTTTCACTTTAGTAACAGGTGGACAGACCAACAGTGAGAGCGAGATGTTCCAATTTAGAAAACATTTAAAATAAAAATCACACCCCGCACTCAACACGTCTTGTGGCTGCGTTGCATTACAATGGACTATTGAGTATCTGTTGTGGCAAAGTTGCTCGCCTCTCCTCCCTGTATGATTGTTTAACATTGGTATAAAACTCTGCCCTTGCTCTTTGGCTCTGAGGGGCTGAAAACAAACAAAACCTTGTGTCTTACTATAGATTAAATGAGTTTCTTCCTTTTAAACTAAACCGTGGCTGTGCTAGAAATATCTCCATGTTTTATAATTTACATTTGGCCAGTTATCTGCAGGCATTAGAAAAATACACCAAATAATAAAATGGGCCCAGGAATGCACGGTGCATTTGCGACAGCTGTAGTAACAGTGTTTACGTGTTCTGGAGTGGATAGTTTTTGTTACACTTGCAGATTTGGGCAGTGGGTGAGGTTATGGGCTGGTGAGGCTGATAAAATGGCGTACCAGCCTAACAGAGAATAACTTTGTGTGGTAACAGACAAGAGAGAGCACATCTAATGCACTCCTTCTCCAGCAGAGTATCATCCTTGTGACCTCAGAGGCTTAAGAGAGAGGACTACTATGATCAGTGATCAGTGGGTGTGGTAGCCGGCGGTGCTCATGCCAGCCTGGTTGGTTAGCATCGTCCCGTTGACTCCCTGCCCGGGCTCCACCATCCCTCCGTTGCTCACGGCGCCCACTCCTGTCCATCCGGCACCGGCATGTAAATGACTGTAACAGCAGACAGAGACAAAACAGTTCAACAAGCGCAGTCAGATTAAGAGACACAGTGGGTGGTGTCCACTTAGATAATTATGTCCCCCCTTCCCCCAAGCATGTGACCCACAGCTGGTTCAAGGTCCACCGTTATCGAGGATGTTCCCGCCCTTTAAATGCATTTCTGTGGCGCTTCAAGCGAGGAACCTCAGGTGTATTTCTGTGAAGCTTTTCTGGTCCTTTGATCAGGATCTGTTCAGAATGGCCAACTGCTATAATATTAATATAATCACGTGACTACACTCGTGTAGATTATAAAGCAAACTACCTGTGGAAACGGGAATGACAGCCAAACCAACGGCATTACTCATTTAATAATGAGTAATAAAATAAGAAATATTGACACACCTGCAGGTTTGTCTACTTTTCCCTCATCAGCCAAAATGCTCATTCAGGAAAAATGAGACAACCTGTTTAAATGTTACCTACACAGGTAATTATCTGTCCTATAATAATTATTTAGAATATTTATAGCTTCTTTTTATTGCTCCGTCATGTCTGTCCTGCTTTTTCAGTAATACATTTTTCTGCGGTTTTATGTTGGTGTTATTTTTATTTGTCACATTACATGATGCCCTAACGCCACAATGTAGAACTTCACATCCACACTGGAGGGCAGTGTTACTTTCATCAACAATAAGTGACACAAAATATTTCTTGACATCTTTTTTTCCCCCCCACAATGAAAATGAGACTAAAACCAAATAAGGAGTAATGTCTGAAAACAACAACTATGACTTAATGTATTACATTTCCTCCACTAGATAGAAACTCAACAATAAAGTGAAAGACAGAGAAATGGAGACGTTTTATTGCAAAGACTTCTTTTTCAGAAGATGATTTAGCTGCTGTAAATAAGAAACAATTTGCAAAGTTACGTCTCCGTCAGTAACAATAATCTGTAGAAATCTATAATCTGACATTAGCTGTTCTTGGAAGAAACAGATTTACGCACTAAATTAATCTACAATCTGCTGAGAATTAGACGAGAGGGAGCAGCAAAACATTGGAGGAAAACTACGTATAAATGTATAAAACGTTTTTAGTTTTAAAACTAATATACATTTTCATTAAAAGACTAAAAGTGAGGACTTGAGAAGAATTGTTCCATGTGCACTTCACCTCCTCTGACCTGGGGGGGGGGCGCCTGTGGTACTCACTTGTAGCCCTGCTGATCCCAGGTCTGTCCGTAGACTCCATAGCTCGGCACCTGCCATCCATTGGGCACATACTGACCAATCTGCTGCGTGTTGCTGTACCACTGACCCCACTGACTGTAGGGCTGCGCTGCGAAGCTCACCGTGTTCTGCTGACATGCAGAGGAATATTTTAGGATGCAGAATATCAAATGGCATCACAGTTACGACCTCACAGTCAGATGAAAAAAAGCTTGATAGCAGATATGTGTCCAGGGTGATGACTACAGAGTCTATTGTGTTGGGGATAATCCTCGTTCTTACCTGTGGCATCTGTACCTGCTGAATGGGGCTAACCATGTCTGTTGTTTCTTTGCCCCAGTAACACTTGACAACATAGCCCTCTATGGATGTGCCGTTCACAGAAACGATGGCATGAGCTGCCGCTTCGTGGGAGTTGAATCTGCACACAGACCAGAACGGAGAAATTAGACCGTTTTATATCAAGTCTTCCTACACAGACGTTAGGTTTTATAAATTCATGGCTGGCTAACATGACAGGTCAAACAGAAAGTCCTTACCTCACAAATGAGTAGCCTTTGTCTGGGAAAACACGGATTTCCATTATTTGGCCGAAAGGTGAGAAGGTCTGTCTCATAATTTGCTCTGTGAACAGAGAGAAAACTGTTTTAATTTCACCTGCGAGCTTCCAAACCTGCAGATACATACTCATGGACAAACAGTCTCCCACTCACCTGTGAGACCTGTTGTGACTCCTCCACAGTAGACGGTGCAGTTGCTGGGGCTGGACTGGTTCACCACCTCATCAAAAGACAGCTGCTTGGTGTTGGTCGCTGAAAGAAAAACACAAATATAAGTCAAATATAAATGAAATTCAAGGCTTTTTAAACCCTTCCAAGGCAACTGAAATCAATGCTTTTTACACCTTTTCAGACTTGCAGGTTCCCTGACCTCACAGACAAAAGTCAAATGATAAATTTCATTCATTGGGAGCATAACAGTTTGACTTTTGAAGTATAAAACTCTAATGCAGGCAGGTTCTGTTTTGCTAAACTCGTTTTTATTTCAGTTTTCTTGTAGATGTTGATACAAAACACAACAATAACTGCAATAAAAAGCAAACAAATGTAAAATTCAGCTATGTTCCGAGTGAATTAACTTGATATGAAAAGTCCCATCACAGGGGATGAGTGTGATGCCTCAGGACAGCACTTAGCCTTGCTCTGATATCGTATCGTCCCCTTATTTCATGAAGAGCCAATTAAAACTCATCACTTTTTCCAAAGCTGTTCTTTAATGCTTAGTCATGGAACATGTTTGACTTCCCTCATGTATTTAAACCTCTCTGATAGACACCAAAGTGTTCACTAATGTTTGAAAATATGTGCAATGAAAAATGATTTAAATAACATCAGCTGTAAAACAGAGGCAGTGATCTACACCATCTTTTCACTGTTTATACTGCTTCAGAAAACCGGTCCTGGACCTTGTTAAACTGAACTTGTCATTTACCACAGAAGTTATTTTGTATCCCGCAGAGAGCATGAACATCTGTACCAAATTTAATGTCAATCCATCCAGCAGTTGTTGAGATATTTCAGTCTGGAGCAAAGTGAAGCAGTTGAGACGAAACTGAAGGATTTATAACAGAGTACAAGAACAAGCGAACACCACGTCAAGCTGGCTGAGATAAAGTCCATCAGTCAATATATATTTAATCACTGTGAACTTACTCTCATTCGTAGTTTTAGGAGCAGGCTTCCTCGTGGCCCAGTTAGTCCTGATCTGCCTGCCTCCCAACCACTGTCCTCCCATCTGCTGTATGGCGTTCTCTGCATCCTGATTACACACAGGGGGAAAACACACAGCACACACTCCTGGGTCACCGACACCAATTATAAAAAAAAAAAAAAAAAACTTGTCATTGTGAACCCTGGCTTCGACTAAGTCAACAGTCAGAGCCTGCTAATGTTTTCTCAGTCGTCTAACACACAGACACACTTACCCATTTGTTGAAGAAGGAGACAAAGCCATAGCCTTTAGATTTACCTGTGGCCATGTCTTTCACCACTCGACAATCCCTGGGGACAAATATAACACACCGTTATTATTATTCATCTCACTTCTTCTTTAACTGGGAAAAATTTGAGTTTTATGTAACGACTGAAAACAAAGATGATGAATTGATTGTACTAATAAAGTATCGTGTGTGTATCCAAAGCCTGATTAATCTTAAGCTCCATTGTCGTCCAAAAACTATTAAAACCCATCAATGAAGCCACATTCATGCACTGAGTGAGTGACATGATACTAAGATGACGAGAATGAAAATTCATTTTCAAAAAAGAGACTCACTCTAAAGGGTCTGACCCAATTTGATGATAATAATGTTAATAATAATAATAATAATGATGATGATGCTTAGTTCACATGTGCACAAAAATGCTGACTAATCGCTCTGAGTTTGTTTTGAAGGCTGAAAGGGACCAAGTGGAAAAAACACCCTGAATCTACCGCTGCAAATAGTCCCAAGTGAATTCACTACTTATATTATCTGAGTAGCATTTTGCTGTTTTAGTAAATTACTGTGCCTTATGATTTTTATTTTCATTTTTTAAATGGAACTATTTATTTGTGTTTTTTCTAACATTTATGTCTTCATTAGAAACCAGCAGGTGTGGGGATGACAGGTACAGACAGAGTTGAGAAGTTGTAAAGTATTTAAATCCAGACTAACACGTCTTTTTGTGGGATTTGTTGAAAATAAAAAAAAACATAAATACAAAAACACAGACTTGCACAGACTAATAATCACGAGAATACACTTACGATATTTTCCCAAATGGAGCAAAAGCTGCTTTTATGTCATCTGTGGTGATTTCAGGACTTAGATCTCCAACAAAGACATGGAAGTGACCTGAGAAAAAACATTCACATTGTAGTTCATACAATCATTTAACACAGTAAATTCTTTTGTTTACATTTCTATTTTTTTAACAATACCTTTATTTATTTCAGAACAACACGTGAATGCGTGTACTCATGCTTGTATAACATACACATCCGTACATACAAAGCAACCACCAGAACATAACACTCCCAACCCTGTAAAACATACATACCTCCCCCCACCCGCCTATAAACAAGAAGTTAAAACTAAACAGAATAAACCACCACATGAATCATTTTAAAACAACAACAGAGAAAGAGAAAACAAGTACATACAGACTTAAGAAAAAAAAGTATATATATATATATATATGTAAATTGCACATATATTACACATACAAACTTGGTTACATTATTATTTACAGTGTAATCACAAGATGAACTACTTACTGCTTGTGTCTTTCTTTTGGCTGGTTGGCGTCGTGGCCCAGTTGACCTTGACCTCCTGCAAGAGAGACAGATGTAGAGAGCGAGGAAGAAGACAAAGGTGAGACGTGAAGCACGGCTGCAGAGGCAAGGAAGGTGCTTTTTCTTTGATTAGAGGTTTTGTCACACACCACTTTTACTTAGGTCATATTTTGTGATTGAGAACTTTTTTTTTAATAAAGGTGGTCTCTGTATGTCACACTTGGGTTCTTAAAACCACCACTACAAATTGATCATTATCTAATTTTACATACCTTTGCATTAATTAATTAAACAGTAAAATACAGTGGAGAATATCAAGATTTCACCTTCACAATCAGGAACATTTCACTCTCAGTCTATTAAAAATTTGGAGCAAAACTGAAGGAAGTAAGGTCCAAATAACAAGGGACTTACAAACAAGTGATTTTTACGAACTTGTTATACTCCTCAAATGGTCCTTCAATACCTGTTGAGGATAAAATATTTTCAACTGAATGTATTTTTCTTGAAGTTGCTCTTATGTGGATTCTATGTGGAAATAACTTTGCAAAAGAACACACAGCAGTAAAGATGTAGGGGGACAGAAGAGCATCAGTTAAAGTAGATCAGAGAATGTTACATGTAGCATGATTACACAGCAGCAGGGCCTTGTTAAATTAATTCACACACACATGGCAAACTCACTCAAGGAAAAACTTGATTAAAAAGGAGAGACAGCATGGAGCATGAAGTGACAAAAAAACAAAAAAAAACAAAACTGAAACTGAATTACACCTGTACACCTGAGTTCTCAGTGTATTAGTTTCGCCTGTGATGTTATCTCTTACAAAAATCTGCAAACTAGACACTCAGTTACCAGTTTATTAGGTACACCTGGTCAGAACAAAACTACAGCCTCCAAAATGATCAGACAGTTGAATCAACGCCTCTGAATCTGAATATTAAATGCATTTGTTACAGCTGGGTGCAGTGGTGACAACTGACCCTAACGTCACACAACATGTGGGCAATCAATTAATTGAGGCTTTAAAAAAAATACCCCTGATCAAATGTGTAAACAAAGAAAACAAGTTGTTGATTAAATGATAAGTTGATTAACAGAAAATTAAACTCAAAATGCCCAAATATTCACTGGTTGCAGCTTCTTCAATGTGTTGGGTTTCTTACTTTTCTCTGATATTTAACTAAATATTTTGGTGTTTTGAACTGTTGATCAGACAAAACAACATCATCTGAATGAAGTTATGCCTTTTCCACAAATTCATGACATATTACAGATCAAACAAAGGATGAATTGGGAAAATAACCGACAGATTAATCAATAATGACAATAATTAGTTGTAGCCCAATAAAAAAAAAGACCCTAGACGGCAAAACAGACTGTAAAAATGGAAACATTGTTTTTTTGACAATATTACTAAAAATCAATACTCGATATTTAATCATTAGTCTGGATGTTATTGTATAAAGCCTAACAATTTGTTTTTCCTTTCCTTTTGTAGAGGAATAAAGCAACAGCACTTTTTACTATCTTTAAGTCCCCTACACCTTCAACTGTGAGGGATAATAAACGCATCTAAAGGCAGAATACATTAAATGATCTAGTAAGTGGTCTATGTAATTACTTTTGTGTTTTTAAATCTAAGACATGGTCTTTCTGAATGTGTTAATACTGCAAGAAACCAGTGAACAGTTACACACAAAACCAAAATCTCACAGTGAGTATTTAGATTCGATGTTCTCAGGATTCTTCACAGCAGTAAGATTACAGAGATCAGTGTCTGGTGTTCCCACCCCGGTCATTACAGAGTGTGCACAAAAGAATAAATGTGCACGGGGGAATAAAACAAATTAAGTGGAGTGGAAGAGGGAAGTAAGATAAGGTTTAATAAGATACAGGTTTTTTCAGCCACTTCATTTCAACCCTGCCCACCCAGCTTTGCCCTAGTTGACTCACCCAGGAGATATGATAGCTTACCTTACCCAGTATTTTCCGACCATTCATGGCTGCGATTGTGGCAGTGGCATGTCTATGCTCATAGAACTCCACAAAGCAGTACGGATCATGACCTGCTGTCTGGAGTGTACAGGAAACACAAAGATTAAGTCACTGTGGCTGTTATACAAGCCTTAGCAAATGTAATGACATCATCATTTGGTATTAAAATGGGAGGCTGTGGATAGATCTGGACTGATGCATCGATTTAAGCTCATTGCAGATAAATTAATATCAGTGTTCATAACGGATGATACGCAACGACAAATTCAAATAATGGAAAGTAAAAATGGTCATGTTGTTGTTTTGCTCATACTGCACACACATCAGTCTCACATTCTCTGCTCTTATTTTGATATTATTGTTAATAATTATGTTAATTCTATTATATATATTTTGAATCTATTCGTTTCTCATCATTTTTATGTAGTCACGTTATTTTCTTGTATTTTTATAATTGTGTGATATTTCTACATACTTAGGTGGAGACTTTCAATAAGCCTCTCCCTACACTCTTGTGTTCTTTGTCAAATTGTGCAAAATATATAAAACTAAATCTTAGAGAGATTGGTAGACCAGCAGAGACAAGTAACGGACAGGAAAGCTAATTCAGTCACTCCCCATGCCCCCCCTCAATAAGTAAATGTAATGGATCCTGGTCAAAAATTTTTGTTTATGATATGTGTTTGTGTTAGGAAATGAATATCAGCCAGTATAGTGTTATCATTAAACCTCCAAATATCCTCTATTGGTCCGGCTCTACTGCTGAAAAATAGATGTGGATCAACAGGATGGACAGCAGAGGAAACAAATAACTATATCAGATCACAAGGGCGGGAAGCAAGGTGTTTATCTATGAATTCTCAGAAAAAACATTTTCTCATGTAAGAAAAGTACGACTCACATCTACTATCATTTTACAGCTCTTGCAGGGTCCAATCTGGCCAAACAACTCCAAGATGAGGGCCTCTGTTACGTCCCGGGACAGATTCCCCACATACCTAAATACAAACAAACATGGACAGAAAACAGACGTTGCATATTACTCATAATGTTTCCATGTTTGAAAATCCTGCCTGGGAGAGAAAAAAGAATTTACAATCAACAGAGGACTATGGGCACAGCGACAAGCAGGAATTGTCTCTGTCTAAATCACTAGGGGTATAGGGGTGGTTGCCTCCCTTGTGTGTAGGTAGTGCAGGTTTTGTTAAGCATGTAAGGTAGTATAAAAATAAGTGGTGGAAGAAGTATTGAGATCTTTCATTTAAGTAACAATACCACAATATAAAAACACTATTACACGGCTGCAACAATTTATTGATTAGTCAGTTGACAGAAAATGAATCTGCAACTATTTTGATGATTGATTATTTGTTTAAGCCATGGATTCTTTGCATTTTTTAAATAAAATGCAAAGAATCCACTGAATTCAGCCTCTTCAATGTATTTGCTAGTTTTCTGTTATATATTCAAAACTGATTATAGGGGATTATTATGTGACCTCAACACAGACTCTCTTTGAAAATGTAATGGGCATTTTCACAATTCATCTGATATTTTATAGACAAAACGACTCAACTAGTCAATTTTCAGAAAATTAATCTGCAACTATTTAGATCGTTAAACAATCATCTTTTTTTTTTTTTTTTTTTTAAGTAAAATAACTGACATTTGCTGTTTCTAACTTCCCACATGTGAGGATTTGGTTATTTTCTTTGCCATACACGATAGAAAACTAGATATGTTTAGATGTTGGACAACTGTAAAGACAGAACAAGACATCTGAATATGTCACCTTGGTCTGTGGGGAAGTTATAACGGTGATTATATGCTATTTTTCAGCCTTTCATAAACAAAACAATCAAACAAATAATCATCAATTTAAATTGATAATGAACAGAATCATTAGCTGAAACTAGAATGTTATCATGAGACACCTGTGTATTTACAAAAATGCCAAAACCACACACACACAAACAAACAAACAAACAAACAAACAACAATAAAACACCTACAAGCATACAGCAATATGCAAATTTCATGCATGAAAAGATCTTGTCTCAAAACAATGAAATCTCAAGGCTGTTTATGGCAAATGCTTGTGTGTGTACTAATCAGCTCTTCAACCAAATATAGAGAGCAGCTGGGGATAAGTATTATTATTGAGATCTCAGCTACTGACCTTGCTTTACCTCACTACTGGCTTTAAATAGAATTGAGTTAATCTTAGGCAGGTAATAAAAATAACACAAAACCAAAATTAACATCAGTATTGACCTATGATAACATTTAGCGAGGTTGCTGGTAACAAAACTATACATACAAATATGTTCCAAGGCCTAGGCAATAATGATTCTATCGCCCAACTAACGTTTAGGAGGTGACACACCAAACTCCATTGAAAAAGATGGTAGTTTAATGCTCCGCTCATCGTCAGTCTTGATACATTTGACTAATCTTTGGCTAGTCTTTTTCTTTCATTCGGCATACATAAAACACAGCACACCGCATTTACTTGAATAACAAACAAACATTTTACATTTGACTTTTTTTTTATTTTTTTTTTTTAAAGATAGCAGTGTGAACCCATGCGTTTTTTTAGATTGAGATTTGCGATTTTTCTGGAATTAGCTAGCTAGCTAGCTAGCGTTAAACCCTGCTGGGGTGACAAACAATGAGGAGAATTGACCAACAGTTAGCTCATTGCAATGTGTTTCAATTTTACAAGTCGTGTTAGATTGTGTAGACCGCACAAAAACATTAAACTGGGGAATTTCTAATGAGTTTAAACGTTCAATCCGTGCACACCAGAGAAAAGGACGTTTTGTGAATGGAGTTCAGTCTGGGGAAAACAAGCTGCCACTGACTGTTACGTGACGAGTACAAGTGTTTAGCTAACGGTAACGCAGACACACACACACACACACACACACACTTACAGGGTTTTGGGCTGGTCATCGTCCATTCTGTTTAACTTGCTGGCCGAGAACAAGTCGCAACCCTGAGAGCAAATCCACGACTGTCGCGGGCAGCTGCCTGTGACACCGTCAAGTTATTTTATTGCGCAGTATGAACTGATTTAGCGCCGCTGTTATCTCCACGGTGAACAATGGGGTAGCCGACAAAGATGGCGGAGCGACGGGGCCGACACGAAACACGCATGCGCAATAGTTCAACGAAAGGCAACTTCTGGGTTCATTACAAAATACCGAGTAAGTACTCAAGGGCTGTACTGTATGGAAGCCTATTGGGGACCATATTCAAATGATAATGTAATCCCACAATAGCATTTTAATTTTAATAAACCAATTTGCATTTTCATTTTCACGTACTTGCACAGGCAATCTAGGACAATATTAAAATGAAATGGAAAAGCTGTTGACATTTCATTTTCAAAGTCATACCCTGCTGCACGGTGGACAATATTCAAATGTGAATTCAAATTTGAAAATTAAAATGCAATATAAACAATTTAACCTAATTTTACAAATAGGCAAGCAATATTCAGGTCACAATTAAAATGCATTTTTTTTAACAATTTGAAAATGAAAATGAAAAGAGCATTTGACATTTCATTTTCAAAGTCTTAACCTGGTCTATGATGGACAATCTTTAAATGCAATTTGCAAAACATCTATTGCATTTACATTTACATGTCACCACGTTCTTCCGGGGTAAAAATGAAAATGAAAATAACATTTTATTTTTAAAACACTTTTGTACATAGTTGTGTAGTATTGTTTTCATTGTGTTTTTTTTATATATCAATGTATATTTATATTTGAGTGTTGCATAATTTTTTTATTTCCTATGAACATGTTAATTGGATATTACACCAAGCCAAATATCTTGTAAGTGAAAATCTACCTGGCAATAAACCTCAATTTCTGAGACTGCCTTTGTGATGATGTCGTCATTCTTTCCTCATGCTGCCATATCCTGCCAACGCCCACCCATGTATCCTGCAGTATGCCCTTGTCTTCATAAATCTGCAAGTGTATGACGCTGAGGTTACAATTATTTAGATCCTATTTTCACACCTGAATTTAAATTTAAAACACGGGGGGGGGGGGCTAGCTTGCTAGCACTAGCAGCTAGCTTGCTGGCATTGTTCATTGATGAATGAATTTAACAATTTCATAAGAATACTAAATAACAAGTGGGGGGATCGCTAGCATTAGCATTTTTTGTATCTTGATTGGTGACAAATGGACAAACAGAAGGTGACATAGAAGACATTTCAACCATGAAGCACGATAGACAAGTGACAGTGTATATAAAGTGATATTTTGTTTGTGATTGTATATAATAATAATGACAATAATAGTAAAATAATAATTATAATTGTAAAAATAACAATGATAATGAGCATTGATAATAATTATAATGCTAACAATGATATATTATAATTGCAATAAATGATAATGATGATAATGGCAGCAATGAACATGTGCATGTATAGTACTTAGAGCTGCCCCCCATTTTCATTAGCGCTAGCATTAGTATTAGCAGCTAGCTTGCTGGCATTGCTCATTGATGATTGCATTTAACGATTTCATTATGAAATATCAAAATGACAAGGGGGGGGGTTAGGATTAGCATTAGTAGCTAGCATTAGCAGCTAGCTTGCTGGCATTGTTCATTGATGAATGAAAGTGAGAACTTTCTAAATGCACTGTATGTCTAACTGATTGATCTGTCCAACAGCCATCTCTAGTATTCTTTCCCAACAGGTGCTTCCTACCAGGGAGTTTCTCTAGGATGAGGTGTAATTCAGGCAGAGTTTATGTTCTTACAGCTGCTTTCACACCACTGCTGTGTGTGTACTAAATTCACACACAAATATTAACATTAACATTTGAAACCTCTCTCTGTCTCTCTCTCTCTCTCCAGGTGACAAAGAAGCTTGCTGGTGCTGCTTGTTGTCTTCCCTCCCAGATACCAGTAGAGGCTGCCCAGGTGACAGTTCAAGGCAGCGACGGGGAAGAACAGGTGCTGGCCAGACTCTCCCTTCAGCAAAGGGTCTGTCCTTGGTACAGGTGGGACAAGGACAGCCACTTTCATTTCAATGTCCCAGACGAGCAGCCTGGGCCCTCCAGCAGGGGTCTGTCTCCTCCTCCTCCTCCTCCAGACGATGAACAGCACGGCCCCTCATCCAGTGCTGTTGGTCCTCCCCTCGCTCCAGCACCACTCCCCTCTTCTGTTCATCCACCTCCTCTGCCTGGACTACCTGTACCCAGGACCAGAGCCTACAGGAATGTAGGCTGAAACTGTATATTGGGAAAACTTTAAATAAAGGGCTGATTTGTTTTAGCATTTGTAAGTGTCCTTGATTTTTAGTTTTAATTCATATATATGTATTGGGTGAACCTGGATGAAACTAATGCAGTTTAATGGAACAGGCCTACAGTAAATCCTCCTTCATGAGGATTATAATGTTCAGTATTTACTGAATCTGTTTGAGAAGTGTTGGTTTATTTTAATGTTCATTGTGGAGGCTGTAACTGTTATTGTGGTAATGTTTAAGTGTACTGGGATATACTGAGAAGTGTTCCTAATATTTTGTCAAATCTAATTCCTATAAATGGGATGGAGAAAATATTAGGAACACCTCTCAGTATAGTGTTAGTTTATATACAGTGGTGTCCAAAAGATTGAGACCACTTTCCCATGTAGCCTCACATATTGCTCCATAGCAGCTCTGGTATCGCTCAGTTTCATTTACACAGGAGAATAAAAGGAGCCATTAAAAACACTGAATGGAATTCAGCAGGGTATCTCCTTAAGAGTGAACCAGCAAACATGAAGTCTAGCTGCAAGTGACACAAAATCCATAAAGGATTGTCAAAATTCATAAACTGTGGCTAAAAGCCATGAACTGCAGCGGGAAGTGAAGGTAAAAGTCCAACAGCAGCTTTGTGTGAAGTTCAAAATACTAATGAATAATCACAACATTCATTAATATTCATTCATTTGAAAGCAATTTTAACTAAATAAAAGGCTTAAATGTCACATATGTTATTCCCCTGCCCAAGGACAGTTAAGTCTGTATTATCTGTCTTAAAGCTAGAAATTACAGAATCCTCAAATCCTCCATAGACAACACAAGGGCACTGACTTTATGTGTCAACAGTTGTGTATTCCATATATTCCATTAAAATGTCAATTAAATGTCATAAGTGACAAATGAAAATGTTGAATGCACTTTTTAATTGAACCCCCCACATTAAGTGCTATTTGGTGCAAATGATGAACTAATACAGTAGAAAAACAGACTCCGGAAGTATAATCAATCTGTTCTAGGGCACAGCAATAAGAAATGTAAATTCTCGACTTTCTTGTTCAATTTTTATTGTACAAATTGGATAATGGAACAAATTGACGCTTATGTGCGCTGAATTGAATTGCATGTCTTCATTCAGTGGGACAATAACACACGCAAAGAGCATTGGCTAATGAAGAACAAGCTCACAAACGTCAACATACATTTACATTCAGCACAAGTAGGACAATGAAATTAGGCAGTAACCCCTAAACTGGCATTTTTCATTATACAACGTGAACAACTGCAGAAGAATTATACTTAATGCAAGGGCCGATATTGATGTCTTTCCCACCAATAACTTCTTAATTATTTAACTCAATAATTAATATTTTGTGTTATCTTGATGTTTGAATATTTTTTTTCTACTTATTTCCATTTTTCTTTCCTTTGGTCTCATGTTTTTCTTTTCAAATTCTTTGTCACTCTCAGTTTGAATTTGAATACATTTTTAAAAACAGCTCTCCGGAACACTAGGGGGCGCTGTCGAACGTCAGCGCAGCGTATCGACCTCTACAACGACCAGAACAAGGAGCGCTACAAGGCGTGCTCAAAGTACGCCAACTAAACCTCAATCCATAAGAATGATTTTCTAAAAGTCAGACTAACGTTAATAATGCGAACGGCTTTACTGAACAGACAACAGTTTTAGAGTATCTTTTGCGGGGTATGTAACTCGACATTTCTTGTGTCTTCATCCAGTTCTAGAGCAGCAGAGCCTGTCCATTTAGCGGTGCGTTAGCTTAGCTAGCCTGCTAAGCTAATGCCCACTAACGGTGACAGCTGGGTGACTCAACGTTACCTGATGAATGAAACCACTGACACTAAATTCGGAGAATCTTTGTTTTCAGCAAGGTACAGTTTAGTTTGTCTGTACACAGATGGGACCTGCAATAATAGAGAAATTTAAATCATATTAATGAAAAGAATTTAGGCTAAACGATTTTTATAAACAGCCGCATGTTAGCCAGCTGAGGCTAGTTATGACTTGATGCTTTCTAACCAGCTATTTAACGATTTACTGTAGTTTTAAGTTAAATGAAGGCCTGTGAGACCGACATGCGAAGTATTTCAGTTGTGTTTTATGGTGTTATTTAGCTGCTACTCATCTATCTGTCAGATAAAGGTACGAGCCGTGTTGGCAGAGCATGCTAGCATGATGAAATATTTGCAGGAGCCTCGTTCACTCATGACTGCAGTAGAGTCTGATGATAACAAATCCGATAATAACAAATCACTTTTTGTGTGAAGTGATGGCGTTAAGCTTTTATTCTAACTTTATTTAGATTCCCCTCTCATGTTTCAAATTGATCTGTGTTTTTCACAACTATTCACAAAATCTTTTCTCTACAAAAACTCAGAATTGCGACGATTTATCGATGGACAGAAGATTAATCTGTCGTTATTTTGTTAAATGAACAATGATTCATTTATTTTAATGCAAAAAAAAGCCAAACATTTGTTAGTCACAGCATCTCAAATTTGCATTTCATGCCTTTTCTCTGTCAAATGCGACAGTAAACTGAATATATTTGAGTTTTGATCTGTCAGTTGGACCAAAAAAGCAATTTTTGAATATGATAATGTAAGCTTTGAAAATCGTGATGTGCATTTTGCCCTATTCTGACTTTCTTTAAAGAAAAAAACCTTTGATGACTCGACAAAATAATCAAAATATTAATTGATAATAAAACAATGTCCTGTGGCAGCCCTATATGCGTGCACTACACTGACAGACACTTAAATCAGTCCAAACGATACTTCATTATCTGGTGGATCTTTTGATCCTAGTTGTCAGAATATGAAAATAGACAAATGGAGTCAGTTCTAAGGTAAATGTTTGAGGAGATTCTTATATACAGTGATTGGTATCTTTG